TCTATCTGAGGTACAGTGGCCTCCCTTGGGCATAGGTTCTCCCTTATAATGACCGCTACCCCCCCGCCCCTACCCCGGGTCCTTGGCTGGTGAAATGCTTGGAAACCTGGCGGGCATAGGTCAACAAGGGGAACACCCCCCTCTATGCCCAACCAGGTCTCGGTGATACCTGCCAGGTCCGCTCCCCCCTCATAAATAAATTCTTGAATGAGGGGGGCCTTATTCACCACGGACCTGGCATTGCACAGCATCAGCCGGTGATCCCGGGCCTGAGGATCCGAGGTCCCTGGAGGTCGAGTAGAGCCCTGAGGATCGGAGCATCCACAAGCTTGTAAGCAGCGTGTGCGTGCTCCCATAACCCGATTTATGCTGAAGGTACAATTTTAAAAATGGAAAATGTTTCTTTTTGGAATATATTTTATTAATTTTTTAACAAGCATAAGTCACTCAATAATTGGTAAACAGTGTGTTGTCTGGGTTACATTTGTAAAGACACTCCTTAACAATTGATTTCTATAATCTGTATTCTATATATTAATTTTAGTTGATTTCCGCTTTCCCCAAAACATTCTTTTTTTGCAAACATTGAATTAATACAATTATTATTGTTTTAGTAAATGACAATTAGGTGTATACTTTTTCCAATATTCCTAAAAAATAATCATCATATTAGTATATTTCTTTTCTTTTCAGTCATTTGGGTTGCCTTATCATCAATCCTGTTACAATCCTTATTTTAGTTTATTTCTCCCACCAAGTTTTAAATATTCTTACTGGTAAGGGTTTTCTCAACAATTAGTTACATTTACATTGACAGATTTAATTCTATTTTTTCCATATAAGCCATCTCACATTTTTACATTTCTTAAGTAATAGATAAAAGAGTAAAAAGAGAGGGGGAAAAAACAAAAAAGAAATAAAAAATAAAAAAGAGAAGAAAACAGGAGCAACGAAACATAAGAAATAACATACTACTTCGAATATATATCCCTCCTAGATTAATATGTATTTATTTCCTCAAATTTCTTATTCTTTTTAATCATAGTTAAGAATATATTTAATCTTTAGACATTCCATTTAATAGATCTAGTCATCTAATCCCTTAACTCTGATTCAAAGCATTTTTATATACTTTTCTTAAATTCAATCATATTTAAGTATCTAAACATTTCATCCCTCTTAGAGTGGTATATTCCCAAAAAATTCTATTTCTTTAACCATATTCAAACACATGTTTCTTTTTTAAGTATTCTCTCTGATATGTCCAATCATCTATTTTCTTAGTTTCCATCTTAATCTTTTTTCTTTGCCCAGAATCTTTCTTAATCAATGTACTTTGCTGAATCAAAAGGTTTTCCCATATGATCATAGGTGTTGCTGTAGATGTAGAGAGTAAATCAATGTCTCTGTCATGGGCATTTGCCCACCTCTTTTTATTAGGAATCTTTTTCCTTCCTTTTCTCTCTACTTCTTCTGTCACTTTTTGTCTCTTCATCCAATCTTTTCTTTTATCTTCAAATTTACTTTGTGGTGTTGAAATATAAGTTGTCTTTTCTTCCACTTGGATTAAATCATATTCTTTTATTTCATGGAAATAACGATGGACTTCCATGAAATAAAAATGGAAAATGTTAAAGTAGTCCTTGTTTAGTTATCACAATTGGGACTAGCAACGTGGTTATTAAACAAAGCCATCACTAAGTGGGAATTCATGTGACTGCAACTATGCTTTCATTTTCTTCACTTCTTCACCCTTTGGAATGCTCATCCTGGTGCTGGGATAATTAGCAAGAAGGAATTAATGTTTGTATTTACCTTCATTGGAGAGGAAGAGAATACAAGAGAGTAAACAGACACAGCACTGTTTAAACAATCTCTCCTGTGCCTGATCCATTTTCTCTCTCCTTCCTTCACAGAGTAAAGAGATTGGAGAGGAGGAGATTACAAGAGAGTAAAAGGCACGCAATGGAAAATACACTGGATGTTTGCCAGTGCATTCCTTTTGATGTGTATTCTCTTGCTTACTCTCTTATGATTCTTCCTTACTCTTTCTGCTCCTCAAGGGGAAAAAAGATAAACAATGGGTCAGGCACAAAATGACATATTCTGATTATAACAGTGATCACATGACTGAGGGACACTGCAAAGATTGTAAATACAGGATTGCAGTTATTTTTTCATCACCATTATGACTTCAAATGGTTGCTGCAAATGGGCAAGGCAATTGGTAAGCGAAGTCTACGAGTAAAACATTTGCCAACTTCTGCTTTAATTAATAGCTAATAGGAGAAATTAGAGGGAGTATTGTATCTCTATTAGCATGACATGATGGACTACAAAGTACGTAGGTTAAAAACAAAATCATGTTATCTAACTATCCAAATGTTTGAAAAAGAAAATTAATTACAATTGTCTTATACAGTGGCAGCATGGAGTTCTAATTCAGTGATAAATCATCCTGGTGATAAGTTAACAAATGATCAACAGATATTGACTAACAGGTAAAACATCTGTCCCTATACCTATTTAGTAGCAAATGACACTTACTTTAATGAGATTTCTATATAAGTTGGTATAGAATTTTAGCCTAAATATAAATGTTCACTTGTATCTGAGTAGCAAAATCTATATTATTTAACTATAAAACATTTGTACTTGAGCATAACAACAGTTTTGGTGGAAATATGTGGTTATTAAAAAGAATATATTGCTTGCTAGAAAAGTCTCTTTTAACTCTTAAAATGTATTTTTTTATATATCTAGAGCCATGGAAATTCTGAAAGGAAAAGGCCAAAGGTCTTGGTCTGTTGGTCTGTCAATAGCTGATCTGACTGACACTATATTGAATGATAAAAGGAAAATACATTCTGTATCAACCACGGTGAAGGTAAGCAGGACACTGATTTTACTTTTGAAGTAGACTGAATATTAGTCTATAGATGACGAAAACCATAAGAAGAATGCAGAACAGATTATGAATCTACAGGTCCCTTTGACTTTGGCTGGAGGATACCTGGCTAACCATTTCTTTTTGTCCTACCTATCCCATAGCAGAGGCCAGCTGATTTTGGGTTTCTCTGATCCAATGTGGAAATATTGTTTTCAATTTTCACCTGACAGAATATTTGCTATTTTCATGGTTTGTGTTGCTACAGCGGCCATCATGGCAGCACCAGTAATTAGTCCAGCATCTTTTCATTCCAGGCGTCAAAGCTCCTCTTTGTTGGTTGCTGTCAGCTTCCTTTTACAGCTATATTTTTTACTTTTTTAAAATACTTAATAAAGTTGAAAATACAATTCTATCACTTTTAACAGAATAAATTATATTTCTCAGCAATAAAGGTCAGACACTAACATGATCAGTCTTTTTGCTGGCTTACTTCAGTCATACCTTTTGATAACTAATATGGTTTAAAAAACCAACGTGATTTAAAGCAGAAAATGTTCATTTTTGTTTTTTGTGGTTTGTATGCTGTAAAGCACTTGAAATACTGTAATTCCAGACGATCACTAAGTAGGAGCAAAGAATTAGTTTCTCTACCTCTTTGTTGTCATGTAGTGTCAATCTGGGATTTTACAGCTCAGATAAAAACACATCTAAATTGTGCAATTACTTGCAAGCTGATTTAATCTTACAAGTATTCATGACTGGCATATGTAGAATTCAAGCCCGAAATGCCTTAAATTTTATATACCTTTGGTAAAATCCAGATACATATAAAAATATTACGTCCATGTTTTTTTTCTAGGGGTGTTATAATATAAACAGTGAAGTATTTTTAAGTATGCCTTGTGTACTTGGAATCAGTGGTGTAATTGAAATGATGAAGCCTGTGGAAGAAGATAATGTAGTTGAAAAACTTCAAACCAGTGCTGCATCTGTCAATGACCTTCAACAGCAACTGAAGCTCTGACTACCAGGGAACCGTNCCCTCTAAGAAGACCCGTAGTTTTTTTCTTCTTAGGTCCCTCAGTGCTGTCGCTGAGTGCCACCTCTCAGGGTTCCAAATCCCTTCATCGAGGCCGGCCCTTGGAATGGTATTGGGCCATGCCTGCGCGATGGGGGAGTCGCGCAGGGCCAGCAGTTCCCTCCTCGAATACAGTCCGTCGTATTGGAGGTCCATCAGCAGAGTAGGGGGAGGGGAGAAAGTTCTCATGATGGCAATTTCAAATGGGGTAGGATGGGTTGAGGAACGATGGTAAGTTCCCAGGTCTTTCGGACCGCCGAGCTGTCACCGCGCTGGGCCACCAGGCCGCTGCCGCGCCGGACTGGTGCGCCACCGCCGCGTCGGGCCGCTGGTCGTCCTGGCCGCAGGTCTTCCTGGCCGTGTCAGGGCGCAGATCTTCCTGGCCATTAGGCCCCCAGGCCGGGCTTCATTAGGCCTCACTAGGCCACTCCATGTCTGGGCCGCCCTCCGCAGCTCCGCCCTCCGCAGGCCGTCAAGTCACCGCCGCATCAGGCCGCCACATCGGGCCGCAGTACTTCCTGGCCACCAGGCCCCCAGGCCGGGCTTCAGGCCTTGCTAGGCCTCTCCGCGCCTGGGCCGTCCTCCGCAGTCCCGTAGCTCCGCCTACCTCCGATCGCCGAGCCATCGCTGCGCCGGGCCGCTGCAACGGGCTGCAGCTCTTCTTGGCCGCCAGGCCCCAGGCCTCACCAGGCCTCGCCAGGCCCCACCAGGCCCCGCCAGGCCCCGCTAGGCCGCCAGGCATCGCCAGGCCTGGTTAGGCCCCTCCGCGTCTGGGCCGCCCTCCGCGGCATCGCAGCTCCGCTCGCCGCCCCGCCCAGCCAAACCTGGCGGTCCTGCGGTCCGGCACCCGTCCTCCTTGCTCGCCGACCCTCTCCTCTCATTCGTTCCTGGCCGGCGAGCACCCCCCGGACCTTCTTCGACCCCCCATCTCCGCCGACGGACCGCCGCCGCTACGGAGCCGGAGCCGGTAGGTCCGCCATCACACGCATCACACGCATAACTAATGTACAGATCAATATAAATTTTACACTTTGATATCTATAGGACCCAACTCAGTAATAGAGTATTAATCACAGGCTCATTTAGAACCCCATCAAACTGTAAATTACTAAAGATTATAGTAAATCAATTCATCAGAATGAAGGCAGGAAGGTAGGATTAACAGAATCAGTTAGGATGGATTAGACAATAAAATGGCATTGTTCCTACTTTTTCTATAACATTTATTTTTCCCCCCAAAATCTTTTTCTTTGTTATTAATTCAGCTATATGGTTTGTATGGTTTACTGTTAGATAGATTGTAATTCCATGCAGCTCACCTGGAGGCAAATGTTATGTTTAGTGTAAAAAAACAATCTGAAATATAGATACAGAGATGGGAACTACTTTCAGGTAGACAGACAGACAGACAGACAGACAGACAGACAGACAGACAGACAGACAGACAAATAGATGATAGATAAAGAGAGAGAGAGATGATAGAAAGAGTTGACAAGATAATAGAAATAGATAGATAGATAGGTAGGTAGGTAGGTAGATAGATAGATAGATAGATAGATAGATAGATAGATAGATAGATAGATAGATAGATAGATAGATAGATAGATAGATAGATAGATAGATAGATAGATAGAGACAAGATAATAGAGATAGATAGAAAAGATAGATAGATAGATGATAGATACACACAAGATAAGACAGACAGACAGACAGACAGACAGACAGACAGACAGACAGACAGACAGACAGACAGACAGACAGACAGACAGACAGATAGATAGATAGATAGATAGATAGATAGATAGATAGATAGAGCTCTTGCATCTTAAGCATGGTTTTGGTGATAACTTGGGAGAACTAGGATTCATTAGTGGCAACCAAGATGAGGCAAATAAAAAAACAGTTTATCTGGTGCTGAGAAGTTCCTGTGGATGGTATGCAGCAAATATGGCAAGATTAAGGAATGTGCTGCCAAGTAAGGTGTAGAAATAGAAGGGAAACAATTTGCCCTGCACCAGGCCAAAGCTGTGCAGGCTCACAGTTCGGAAAAGAACAAACCCTGTGATGAAGGTTACCCATATCTGCATTCCCCAGGCTGTAGAGAGGAGAAAAAGGTGGATGATTCTGATAAAGCCACTTGGCTCACCTTCCATCGACATCTCTCTTCCGACTCTTTGCAGCAGCGCCTGTTAGCCTTGAATATATTATTAGACTTGAAGTAGAAATGCCTTCATTTTGAGAGATTTATGTCATGCTAACCTACCTTTATAATATTTTGAGGCAGATTTTGCCTCTTTTAACCTGTAATATAATTTACTTTTAGTAAGAAGAAAGTCACCTCAGAGAATGATTCAAAGATAGTGTCCAAGTTTCCAAAGGGAAATGATAGACTAGATAGATGGATAGACGGATAGACGGACAGACAGACAGACAGACAGACAGACAGACAGACAGACAGACAGACAGACAGACAGACAGACAGACAGACAGACAGAATAGTTTGTGAACGTCTGTCCATTTTTGGTTTTATGATCATCATCTCTGAATATGAACTACTGCTGTTCATCCACTTTACAAAATTACAGTGAAACCATGAATACTAATTGTTGTTGGGGTTTATTTTTAATTATTATGAAGAAATGGAGAATCTATCTTAGTCAAACTGGTCAATTTTTATACCATGTAATGATGTCAGATTAAAGACTACTCCTATGGAATTTTCTTTCTACCATCACTCTTCCTTGGTCTTTATGTATTTCTCATCAGTTTTTATGAGTTACTATTCTATGCCAGAGACTGAAGCAAGTAAAATGTCAATTTCATTGAGTTCAGTTAATTTTCGCTATAAATTACCAAACCATGTTTTATTCAGCCAGACTTTCATTAGGCTCTGTGCCAGCTTGAACAAAGCCCTTGACCTTTTGTAGATTTTTCACAGCCTAGCAAAAATGGCTTCTAATTCATTCTTTTCCCACAGATATAATTTCCTGTTGTTGTATAATTCAAAAAAAAAAATACAGTAAAATGTCACATTGCCTTTGCAAACAATAAAATATACCTTCATATGCAGTTGCCTTTATCTGTCAAGTTCACTTCTATTTCATGAGCTTTAACAATGACATATGGTACATATTTTTTTCACAACTTGATTTGAGTATTTAGTTTTCAGTCTTCTGAAAATGGTTGACATAAGGAAGCAGTGCTGAGATATGGCTAGCAATTCATCAAGTTTACTGCCTGGTTTCAAAAGATCAGAAATATGATTTCATTGATTATAGCAAGTGAAATAGCTAAAGTTATACTTAATATTAATATCAAGTGGCCTTTTTAATATTTGCTTTTATCAAGTTTCAGTTTCCTTTTTCCTAATCTTTAACCTCTTACTATGTTGGTAATGATAATGGGATAGTTATAGAAAACAGAGTCATCTTTTAGAAAACATGATAATATCAAGCTCATGCTGAAATGATACAAGAATTACAAGTTAAAAAAAAACCCTCAAAGGGCAGACTTGATAAACCACTGTCTTTTTCTGCTTTCAGTTTTCTATGTTTCTATGTTTCTGCTACAGAGGATCATAACCCCTTTATCCCCTTAAACCTTAAGGCGAGGAGGAGGAGGAGGAGGAGGAGGTGGAGGAGGAGGAGGAAGGGTACAATTAGGGAAACCTAATTGGGGAACAAATGAACAAAAGCTTCATAAATAGGTTTACTATACCTATGTCATCCATGATTCACTCATGTGCAAGCTATAGAATAGAATCAAAGCAATAATGGCAGCGGAACAGTAACTCAAGGGAAAGTTTCCACATGGCAAATGTCTGGCAAGCAAAAGTGAATAATAAACAAAAATAAACAAACAGAATCTGGTTTCAAAGTTTATGGCTCTAAAATAAATAATATCTTATTCATAGAACTCTATGAATGAAGATATGGCTGCTTTGCATGAGATGTAAACTCCGTTACAGTCATATGTACTCTAGATGCATTTAGTAAACAACAGATGTAGAGTCATATTTTATTTTGAAATAAAACAATATAAAACATCCATATTTTATATTAAATGTGGAACTTGTGAGCCACAGTTCCTTCAATTTAGCATTTTTTTTAATCCTTCCATTGCTTGAAGACAAAACCATAGATCCTGAGGCCCTCAAACCCCATGTGGTTTCCAAAAGTCTTGGATGTCACTTCTAGAGGCCTTCTTAAACACAAAGGGAGTTAATTTTAAATAAACAGGCAATAATTATATTAATTCAATTCAATTTAAATTATGTTTAAGTATAAATTAGTTTCTGTGCCTGCTGCTGCTATTGTCATTATTCTGATTCTGTCCATTTTGTCCTGACTTTGCTTACTTTTGCAGTTTCATTACCAACATGCCACTAAAAAGTATTTGGTCTTGGATTAAAAAAACAAAAACGAAAACAAATCAACAACCCCCCCACCTTTGCTTTAAGGTGCTTAAGGAATATGAACTGCATCTCACAAAATGTAAACTTGGTTAAGATATATCGTAGTTTCCAAATGAAGTTAATTGCCAAGTGATTATTTAAATCCATGTTTTATTGATCCAGATATGATACATTATCTACTATAGGATGTGGTGTGGTGTTTGATAGACACTATGACACAGAGGCAAAACTCTTCTATCAATGGAAATATCGAAAAAGTTCTGTCCAGATGCAAAAAGGAACAATTGTTGACTTGCGCTGACTATTTTTATCATTACCTTTATAATAATGAAAAAGGATATTTTAGGAATAATGATGATGTGGCAGTATCAGATGATAGAACAGAAAACAAAGAATTGTAGAAAATTGCAAAATATCAAGAACTGAAAATTGAAACTGAAAGATTATGGCATTAAACTCGCTATGTTGGTCTCAGGGGTTATCAGCCCTGGGCGTGCTATACCCAAAAATCTTGGACACCACTTAGTTAAAATTTCCATCT